CTCTAACTAATCCACTTACTTTTAACTTACCTACTCTTAATAACATAATACAAAAAGTTAGTGCTTCAAATATTGAATGTATATTTAATTTTTTCTTACTTCTCCACATTATTGGCATTCACGTATTAAATTCTGGCTCTTCAAAATTTGGTCAGCCAACCTATCAAACAAAATACTTCTTCATCACTATCATAAAACACAAAACTACACTCTCCTTTTTCATTTCTCACAACTAGCCAAAAATAATATAACAATTTCCTCTATTCCTCAACTTTCTCTTCTTTTATTCCACAACAACTCATATCTAATTTATGATATACTTCCAACAACTCCTAATAACCTTACAATTAACAGTCTCAAAAATAACAAAATTCTCTTTATTAAACAAATTACAACTGCAGATAATAATTTTCTACTACTGTGAAATAATATACAAACAAAGCAACTAGAGGATGTCAACCTCGCTGGTTTACACAACTTCTACAAAATATACAATCAAACTCTATTCAAACTACCTGGCTATACCTTCAACAAATTGCTTTATTAATACTACCAATCTAATATTTCTAACAAATTCAGCCTTTTCTTACCAACTTTCATTACATAATTCAAATATAATTGTCAATCAATCAAACTTTTAACAAATTAGTCACTACCAAATCATCTCATCAACTATACAAACTAAACAGGATTTGCAGGATTTACAGAACTGGTAAAAACTAATAATACAGCATCCAACTCAACATTTATAAATCTACTATACAAACAAATTAATTTCAAAAAACTACTCTTACAAATAGACTATAATGAGATTCTTGCAATAATCAATATATCTAAAAATTTTACTATAATTCCAACTCCTTCTTTATACCAACCTCAAATCAATTTATCCTCTCGTGAAATACATCTTATACAACACACTATCAAAACACCTAGCTACCAAAACCACCTAATCCAACTACATAACAATATCTCAAACTTAAACACAACTGATTTACAATTCTATACTGATACTTCTATCAAAAATCTTCTAACATCTAATATACAGACCGGCATTGGCTGGATCTGTAAAAATGACCCCTCTATTAATTTTTGTGCAGCAATCCCTCCTTCTCCTGATTCTACTCGCTCAGAACTAATAGCAACAATTCCTCTACTTTTTACCTTACCAATCAATTCTACACTTACTATTTATATGGACAACCTTTTAGAAATTAAAGGATTATCAGATTTTACATCTCATAAACTTATCCAATAAAAAAACTGTAACATTATCTTTATTAATAATGCACTTATAATTACTAAAAATATTTCAATTAATCTTATTAAAGTTAAATCACATTCAAATAACTCCCTCCACAACCAAGCTGATCTTCTAGCTAAATGTGGCACAACTAAACCAATTATAGAAATCCTCTTTTCACACTTTAATCTCTCTATTCACTTTATTTGGTATAACCACACAATAACATTTAAAATTCGTTCATTCATCAAAAACACTATTACAATTCAAGAGCTTCTCTCATAGACCTCTCTCAAATTCTTTAATAATTATACATCTGACATAAATTAGAATCTTACTTTCAAAATTCTTAACTCTCTTGAGTATTGCTCTTTAAAATACTCCTTTTATATTAAAGTCCTTACAAATAATCTATCTACTATACAAAATCTTAAAATCCAATACCCTAACCTTTATACAACAAATGGCTGTTGTAAATGTTCCACAATAGAAAATACTCTTCACATACTTCTATGTTCAAAAAATAATGAAAATATTCGACAATCACTTCTTAATATAACCTCAAACACATTAAATCAGCTCAAAATTACATTTACTCTATCAATTACAATTCTTAATACTCTTTCACAAGCTATACTTGATTCTATAAATCTTCAATATAATTTTCTACTCCCTACTATTCTCGGTATCTACTCAAAACCAATTTATTATACTCTTAAAATTCTACTAAAAAAACAAACTGAATCGTTTGCGATCAGTCTTTCAAACAATCTCTTTAAATGGTTTTATCATAAATATAGCCTCAACGAAATATACATCAACACCAATGGGAATTGGCCTGAAATATTACTAATAAAACTAAATGTACCAAATTTTCTCTGCCACTTATTACCAATCAATCAAGCACAGAAACATCTACTACTAAACTACCAAATTCACGCTCTCCTATTAAAAAATAGTACTTACAAGGTTTTTCTCTAACAATATGCCTTATGTAATGTCATAATACAACCTATCCTAGCTAGATTTATTTTATTTATTTAAACTAATAATAGCACTAAAATAGGAAATAGGAGGTGTAATGTCACATTGGGTGCTCTGTAGCACAAGTGTAGTTAGAAATCTTTAACCATAGAAATTCCTTTTCTAATCAACCTTCTTAAAATTTGCTAGTTCAAGTTGAAGGGTTTTGGCAGCCAGGTTATAAATAAATAGCTTATCTGTCCCATTACCTGGATTTGTAGACTATAAAATAACTTTCAATCTTCAGACTGACTGTAATAAAGTTTCTACTATGACATTATATTAATAAAAAATAAAAATAAAAAAATAATTAACTTTTAAATTTTCTCCATCTTTAAGCAATAATATCTTGACAATCTCCTGATCAAATTCGATGAAATATTCTTTATTTAAATTCTACAAATATATAAAATTTAAATAAAAAAATTTTCATCAAATTTGATCAGGTGGTCATCAAAATATCTTTGCTCAAAATTTTAAAACTAATTTGCAACTTCTATTTTAATCAATGTTTTGAATTTTTCTAACTTTTCCAACTTTTTCAACTTTGAATGAAGATATCTTGGTGACTACCTGACCAAATTCGATGAAAATTTTTTTATTTGAATTCTATATGTTTGTAGAATTTAAATAAAAAAAAATTCATAAATGTTTGTTAGGCAGTTATCGAAATATCTTTGCTCAAATTTTAAAAATAATTAGCACAACTTTGATGTTTTGAATTTTCTTCAACTTTGAGCAAAGATATCTTGGCAACTACTTGACTAAATTTAATAAAATTTTTTTTATATAAATTCTAATAATCTGTAGAATTAATATAAAATATTTTTTATCAAATTTGATCAGGTGGTTGTTGAGATATCTTTGTTTAAAGTATCAAAAATAATTTGACACAGCTTCTATTTTGATAAATGGTTTGAATTTTTTTTCCAAATTTGAGCATTATATCTCAGTAACTGTCTGATAAAATTTGATGAAATATTTTTATTTGAATTCAACAAATTAGCAGAATTCAAATAAAAAGAATTTAGTTAGGTGTTTGTTGAGATATCTTCACCCAAAGCTTTAAAAATTTTTAAATTTTATTAGATTTCAGAGCCAGATCGGAAATGATCTGCAGTCCGGATGCAGAAAATCTGTACTGCATGCTGTCCCTGTTATATGGAGGGGTGTCAGTAGAAACCAGGCAAATTGTTTAAGTAATTTTTTTTTAGACTTTAAGTTAAAATATCTCAACAACTATTAAATCTAACTTGATAAAAATTTTTTTATTTTAATACTATTTAGTTATAGAATTAAAATAAAAAAAAATTTATTAAGTTTGGTTTAATAGTTGTTGAGATATTTTAATTTAAAGTTTTAAAAAAACTTACTAAAAACAATTTGCCTGGTTTCTACTGACACCCCCCCATATGATTTACTATGTCCCATAACGTGATTTTCAAGGCATATTTTAACTAAATAATAACCAGTAATATATTCATTAGATAATATATGTATTTGAACATATTAACTAAAAATATATTAAACTACATATATTTCCTTAGTAAGTATATAGTAGATAAGTACTATATATTACTGGTTATTATTTAGTTAAAATATGATTTTTGCTTAGTCTCTATTGTTTTACCTTTCGCAACTTCAGCATCGGAGAATAATTGAGCCAACCTTGTTCACTCTCATCATCGTTTAACTATTTGATGAGGTAAGCGGTTTCCCATTTTGAATAAATAAAATTACTTCCTGAATTATACCTTGTTTGATTTTCTGACTATACGATATTTTTGATTAATAGGTGGATAGGAAGATGTATGTTGTTTTTCAGAAGCCTGTGATAATTGATCCTGAGAGTTTTGGGATGTAATTTCAGATTGACATTTTTTATCTCTGTTTTTCTTTATCATCTCGTTACTAATCTTATATGTTAAATCCAAAAAATTATCGATCTCTTTGCCTTTTGGCGATTTAGGTTCTACATGGATAGTTTAGCCTATGTTGACATACTTGTGCTGTTATATCGGAAGTAGATATGATAGCAGTTTTATTGACTATCTGTTTGGGGTACTTCCTATAGAAGGCGTATCCTGTATATTAGCAATAATTGAGTTTGCTTTTCTGCGAAGCAGGGATACTTTGTTACTGATTTCTTCGATGTTATGTTCTAGCTTCAATACCTTGGCTTTAAGCTCCACATTTTCACTTTCACGCTGTTCCAATTCGGCGATTCTGGCCATAAGTCTCACATTTTATTGCTTCAATAAATCCAATTCGGATTGCATGTTCGATATATTTATTTAAATATTGCATATGTAGTTTTTTATATCGCAAAAATTACTTGATAAAACCGTGACTGCGGTCACGATCAGAAAAAATCTGCTTCTCGGAAAATCATAGTAACAATCCTGGAATATCAGGGAATGGATCACGGTTATCACATGCATGCTATACCAGTGCTATACCACAGAATAAAATCGAAGGTCGTAGAACTTCTGCATGAATGATTCAAATATATTATATAATAAAACTAATATATATATATATTGTCGGAGGCAAAATTGCCAAAACTCGCTGCGTCAAAATTGCCGTCACGAGGCCTAAAACCGTAACGAAGACCCGAACCAAAGCCCCAGGCTGTGATCACGGCTGAAATGTGGCAAATTTGTGACAAAAGCCACAAAGAATGAAGAATCGGGATAGAACCGATTTAGGCTTGGGGCGGTGCCAAAAGCTTAGCCGGAGAAGGCAAAGCTTTGATGGCACGGCATGGCTGGAGTGGCTTGGGGTTTAGATTAGAAAAGTTCTTTTTCTTTAATTCTTCTCCCGCATATAAATATGGGCTATTTTCGCCCTCTAATAAAGAGTAGTTAAGTGTATTTGAATAAAAATAAAAATCGATTGTTTAAAACCCACAATATACCCGATTTAGCCTTACCTTGCCAAATCAAAACCGCCTCTACCAATCGAGTATATCGAGAGGTGTGGTTTGGGTTTGTGTGTTTTTGGGTGATTGTATATAATACCTTACGTAGATTTAATTAATTATATCGGAAACCATAATGGATGATGTAATCGGACGCCCTTAATATCTGATTATCACCTCGTGATACGTATCTGTCTTCTTTTTCATTACTGATGTCAAAACGAAAAAAGGTCGAAACCGAAGGTGTGAGCTCTTCTGCACTTAAACGGAAGTCAGCTCGAATTGTCAGGCAAGAGTCGCCGGTTTTCCCCTAATAGAACAAGCCCTATTAGTTTGGGTAAACTGTGCCCTTGAGGCTAATATTACAATATCTGGGTTCATGCTGACTGCTCAAGCCCAAAAATTTGCCGAATTATTTCAGATAACAAATTTTAAAGCGTCAGAAGGGTGGCTAACAAATTTTAAAAAACGGGCAAAATTAAGAGAATTTACACGGGCTTGTGGGAGCCACTAGTAACCTTAGAATCAGTTCCCGTTCAAGCTATGACTTAAAGGATCTCCCTTCTTCGGCATCCAAATTCGCAGAAGAAGATGTGGAGGCACTAAACGCGACCTTCAAATCAGCTTCCAACGAGAGCGAAGTCATACCCGATGTTGAAGGTAAGAACTATTTTGTGTCAATAATCCTCTTAGCGAACTTATACATATAATTTAAATATTCTCTAGCCACGACTATCCTACATGATTATTTTCTCCGCAATCTCTCTAATGATATGCTTCGGAGTATAGTTGTTAGACGAAACCTCAAGGTTTCGCGCTGACAAAACGCGAACCTAGTTTCGTCTTTCGTTAATTAAAATCTTAAATGACGAAACTGACGAAAGGTGATGAAACTGATGAAAGGTGATGAAACTGTAAAGCAGGGACCGTCAAAAATTTGGACATTATTTATATGATTTCCAAATTTGTATAAATGATATCCAAATTTTTGACGGTCCCTACTGTAAAGGGTACAAAATATAGAAATGTATAAAAATTGCAAAAATTTTATTATATAATAGGCGCTTGAATTGTTTAAAGGAAGTTAGAAATGATACTAGTACACTACATATCAGTTCTAGTGAGAAATCGCTTGGTGCTTATTTTGTGATCTTACAAATTTATTTTGTGTCAGTATGTTTAATTCATTATTCCATGAGTACCATGGCTTTTTGACAAGGTTTTTTGACTGGTCTATAACAACCCTATCATTGTCCAGAAAAAATAAACTGGCTTATTTTTGCTAGCATACATGTAATTTCGGACACTGATCTTTGAATAAATTATAAATTATGAATGAAATAAAGGTTGTTCTCTTTTTGTGTGTTTTTTTTTTTAGTGGGAGCACTAAGGTTTGGTTTTTTGAGCGTAAAGTTTCGTCATTTTAAGTTTAAGGTTTCGTCTTCCGTCAGTTGAATTTGGGGTTTCGACTTTCGTCCGAGGTTTCGTCTTTAGGGGTTTAGGTTTCGTCTTTCGTCATCATGCGAAAAAGGTTTCGTCTAACAACTATACTTCGGAGACCAGATTTTGAAGTTGACAACATTCGCGGACTTTCGGATTAATACGTCAAAACCTTCATTAACAACCTGCACAGAGTGGTCATGAATGCAGGTCTCAATATAGGTACGGATGAATCTAAGACCGATTCATTAGTAACCTATATTAACTCGCTGCTGAATTTCATTTGGTGTTAGGTGAGGAATAATAATAATAATATTCAAGTGGATCAGTGGTTGGGGTGTCTAATAAGTGTCTAATGCATATCTAATTACAAACATAGTGCAGGTCATCATTAATCAATTTTTTCATAATTAGTGGCGTAGTGGTAGCGTAAGTAGTAAAAAACATATAAAATTTAGATTGCAATGACTCTTGAACAAGCGAACACACACAAATGAAATTATATTTGTCGGGTTCATTTTAGTTTACTCTTTAAAGCTACAACGCTTATTTTTTGTTGTTGTTTGAAGCATAGCGGAGACTTAATTTTCATACAAAATGGCCGTTTTGATTTTTTTTAATAAAAAAATCAAGGGAATTGCTATTCGTACCCCAAACTTGCTAGCTATACCCCATACAAATTAAAGTTTTTTTGAACTTTGAGCGAAGATAACTCGACAATTACCAAGTTAAATTCGACAAGCTTTTTTATTTGAATTCTATGCATTCGTATAGTTCAAATAAAAAAAAGTTCATTGAATTTGCCTGGTAGTTGCTGAGATATCTTCGCTCAAAGTCTTAAAACGTCAATTTTTTTTATTCTTTCGTTCAAATTTTTAAAAACTCAAATAAAAGTAGAAGCTATGCTAAAATTTTTTCCAATGTTTGAACGAAGGTATCTTAACAACCACAGGGTCAAATTCGATAAAGTTTTTTTTCTTATTTGGATCTTACAGATTTGTAGAAGTCAAATAAAAAAAGGTTCATCAAATTTGGCTTGATGGTTACTGAGATATCTTTGCTCAAAGAATAAAAAAAATTTGGTGCAGCTTCTATTCGTAGGCATTGAGTTTTTAAAAATTCGAATGAAGATATCTTGACAATCATCAAGCCAAATTCAACAAACTTTTTTTATTTAAATTCTACAGATTCTTAGAATTCAGAAAAAAAAAAGTTCATCGAATTTGGCTTGGTGAGTGTCGAGATATCTTCGCTCAAAAAATAAAAAAAATTGAGTTGAATTCTATGGAATTCAAATAAAAAAGTTTGTCGAATTTAACTTGGTGGTTGTCGAGTTATCTTCGCTCAAAGTTCAAAAAAAAAACTTTAATTTGTATGGGGGGTATAGCTAGCAAATTTTGGGGTACCAATAGCAATTCCCTATTTATATAACAGTAAAGTAAATTTTATCCATCACTATATAAACTAGAAACCGGAAACCGGTACAAGTCCGGAACCCTATAGACGGAAAATGTTAAAACTACATTTCTATATTTTTATTTAAAAATGCAATTTCAGTCATCAAAGCGCATAGAAATAGGAGCTTTCCGCTTCGATAAAGAATATTATCGAATACCAGTTTCCAATTATGCACCTTAGGATTATTGAGTGATACAAAGCAAATGACCAGATTTGATGACCCAGAGTTATCTATTCCGGGTTGTATCGCATTTCGTAAATTCTTTTGACCTAATTTAGTAGTTAGATCCTTGTACAACAGGTTTGGAACTAGCCAAATTATCGGATCCCTACCACAATTGTATAAATTTTGATTTAGGTTTTCTTTCCAAAATCTAAGAATGTCTTTGATTTTCTTAAAATTTTCATCGATCCTAATTCTACTTATATTTCCAAATTTTGTGAACTCTCTTTGGCCACTACCACAAAACTGGTCAAATGGTACTTCACTTCTTCGTGTTTATCCCACCTTCACCGTAAAATATGACCCAAAATTTTTAAATTCATACACAGATCAATTAATAGAATCTGCTAAAAATCGGTTGCAAATATTTTTGAAAAAGGAAAAACATTTTTCACCTAATGTTAAATTCCAAATTCCAGAGGATGTAGACGATTCGATATTGACATTGTCATCTATTAATATTGAAATAACTGATAATCTTAAAAAAGATCAGGATGATTCAGAAGAAGAGTATATTGATTGGACTTATAATAAAGAGATGAGTGAAGGAATTCCGTTAGGAACAGATGAGTCATATGAACTTATAATACCGGATAAGAAAGACGACAATGAAAAAGAATTAATAGCATATTTGAAGGCACCAACAGTTTATGGAATTTTACACGGTCTTACCACATTTTCACAATTATTATATTACAACCGTAACTATGAAGAATTATTTCTTCCATTTGCACCTCATAACATAAAAGATTTTCCAAAATTTATGCATCGAGGTCTCTTACTCGATACTTCACGAAACTTTTATCCAATTAAAGAAATTCTTAAAACTTTGGACGTTATGAGTTGGAATAAAATGAATGTTTTTCATTGGCATATTGTGGATTCTACTAGTTGGCCGGTGGTTAGCGAAAAGTATCCAGAATTGAGTGAAAAAGGAGCGTATGATCCTAAGAAAATGATTTATACAAAAAGAGATATCAGGATCGTTGATGAATATGCTAGGGCGGTACGTTTTATAATCTGGTTAAAAAATTTTATTTTATTTTTTTTTAAACATATAAGATACGTGACAGCGCATTTACAACGGAGTGTAGTGTACTTTTATTTTGGTTCAGAAACATATAATACTATTTTTTTAATGTGACTCAGGGCGTATTAATTGCATTATTTCACGAATTAAAATAAAAGTATCAAATGATAATTGGTCACAATCTACTTCAAATTTTTAATTATGGTTATATAACATTTATTTTATTATTAATAATTTAATTTCAGAGAGGAATCAGAGTTATACCAGAGTTTGATATGCCAGGACATACATATGCTATAGCCGCAAGCATGCCAGAAATGTATGCATTTTACAATTTTTTAATATTATATTATTACATTTTGCATTGACTTGTATATTTTGAATTAGTATGACGTGTACAGATATGTATCCGGATTGGGATAAGGTAATTATAAAAATCAATTTATTTATTTATATATCATTACTCATTTTAACAGAAATTCATTATTAAAAATTTTCATTGACATAAAAAGTATTCTGCTGAACCACCAAGTGGTCAATTGAACCCAGCCATACCTGAAACCTATACCTTCCTTAATGAATTGGTTCCTGAAATAGCATCCTACTTTACTGATAAATTTTATCACACTGGCGGTGATGAAGTAAACATGAACTGCTGGGAAACACTTGTCCAACAGGGTGACGTTACCATAGAATCCTTGTTAGATAAATTTGTGACCAACCTCTATACGATACTAAAAAACGAAGGGAAAATACCAATGACATGGCAAGAAATGATAACGGAACATAATATAGAGTTGCCAAAAGATACGGTGGTCCAAGTATGGAAGAATCACACGATGGTGAAAAAAGTGGTGGAGAAAGGGTATAGAGTTGTGACTGGTAGTGGAGATTATTGGTACTTGGATTGTGGACATGGTGGATGGCTTGGTAATAATGTTGAAGGGAAAAGTTGGTAAGTATAGATAATAAGGAATGGGACTAATGAAAATAATTAATAAAATTAAAAACATTTATTTATTTAATTTATTTTAGGTGTGATCCATATAAAACATGGCAAATGATATACTCATATAATCCCATAAAAGAATTATCAGATGAAGAAGCCAAATTTGTTATCGGAGGTATTTATTAGCGAATGTATTATTTGTCGGCCATTATACATAATAATTATTCTTATCTTAATCCTATCAATTGTCTATTGATTATCTAGGTGAAGTTCTTTTATGGTCTGAGCAATCCGATCCTACAAATTACGAACAACAATTATGGCCACGTTCTTCGGCCGCTGCAGAAGTTTTATGGTCTGGCCCTGAGGATGTTGATGGGAATAGACGAGTACCAGATAATGATGCATTAAAAAGATTGAATGATTGGAGATTTCGAATGGTCGAACGAGGTATAAATGCCGAACCATTACAGCCGTTATGGTGTGTTCTTACTGGACGGTGCGATAAAGCTGTAACAACGGAAGAAATAAATAAAAACGCATGAGTAAAATATCTAGAATGTGGCAATTTTTATGTAATTATGTAATTATTAGTGATAAATGGGGTTTTTTTCACAATAAATAAAAATATTGACGTTTATTTAAATTAAATATGTTTGCTAAATACCTTGTTAACAATATAAAAAGTATGTTATTTATAACTTTTAGTATTATCATGTTCTTGCTGCTATATATAGAGTTTTTCTAAATGATCTAAATATACCTATTATATAAACCCTTCTCCAAAGCTTTCTATAATGAACACCCGTTCTAAATGCTTTATCTAATCCCTACTGACGCGTTTAAATTTTTGCAACTCATACAATATCGTATATTTTTCAAACAAAAATTCGTTTGTTTGAATTTATTTTTTGCGGTATATTTATTTTTTTTGTATTCATTTATTACGTTATATGACATCTGTTGCTTCCAAATATTGATATATAACGGTATAAATTGTACTGTGATCGTTATTTCAAACATATATTACGAAAGAAGGTTGTTAATCAACAATTATATTGATATATTTATAATTCGATGTTGATAGTTACATAATAAATACAATAAAGAAGAGAATCTTTTTAAAATACACAACAAACAATATACATATATATATAAATTATACAAGATAGAAAATGGAAATGTGTGTGTATTATTTTTTTCCACCACTCAATCTAGCAGCTTTCTTCTTTTTCCATACATCAATAATAACATCTTTAACTTTTTGATGACCATCATCCCAATTTTGTCTAGCTAATTGAACAGTTTTATCAACTTGTTCAGTAGTATAAACGAAATTATTAAACGCCATGAATTTTTCAGTAGCTGGTACAAACTTTGGATCAACTTTATCATTAGGTAAATATGGGAAATAACATAAAGTAAATGGATGTTCAGCAGGTGGACAATAATTATTAGTTTTACCATTTGGTGTATAATCATGAATTTCACAATATTTGTTAGTAGTATCACGAGCATTACGTTCAAATCCTCTAATTGCACAAAATTCTTTTTGTTCTTTTTCAAATAATTCACGACCAACAATTACACTTGAACAATCAAAACCAATAACAATTTCAATTTTTCTTGCAGGACGAGACATCGGGTAAACTGGTGAATCATTTGATACTCCAGCATCCATAAGTTTTAGGTATGGAGAATTAGTAATACCAAGTTTATATGGTGGATGATCAAGACGATAAGTGAAATTGTTATTTTCTGGAGATGGTACAGGCTGATGACCTTCAAAAATACGTTGTTTTTGTTCACCCATTTTTTCCATTGCCTATTAAAATAACGAATGAAAACAAAATAAGTAAAATAATTAAATATATGTATGTAACAAACTATTTCTGTTATTAGAATATGAAGGTAGTCTCAATTTACATCATCATATAAACGTTTAAATTCCTTCTTTGCCCAACCACTTCCAAGAGCCAGTTCAAGCTGATTAATTTCGAAAAGAAGAGGTGCAGATGGAGCAGAACCGAATAAACTAAATAATAAAATTAAAATTCAATAATTTGATAACAAAATAATAATAATAATAATAATGATAATAAAGTTTAATAAAAATATAACACACCCAATCATTAAACCAATATTTTGTTCGGGTACACGGTTAACATCTTTACCATGTTCAAACTTTCGACCAAATGCCCATGTAGGAATGTATGCTATTTTTTTATGTTTATAAAAAAAAGTTTTTGATTAATTAATATTATTAAAAAATAATAATATATCAAAACTTACCAGGAATTTCTTCAGTTCCAAATTCATAAGGAGTAGCTTCATACCATTGATAATGATCGTCCAGTTTCTGGTATTCTTCCCAGACTTGTGCATAATTATCAACCAAAGCAGCTTCTTTTGCATCAAGACCATCTTTCCATGGACGAACATGATAAGCACTGAAAATTTTATTATATTAAAAATTTATCCAACATAATAATAAAAAAAAAAAAAAAAAAAAGGAACATAAATAAATATACCAAACATGAATCGGTAAAAGATCTTTTCCACCATCAATATATTTTCTTTGCCTACTCAATTTGAAATCTTCATGCTGGGTTGTTGGGTCTGAACCTATAAATAATTTTGCACCCAATAATGCACCATAGAGATCCATAATGTTTGCTGGGGCACCACCCAGTTTTTTTTGGTGTAAACCACCAAAGGCAAGCTCAACAGCGGTTTTGGGATTACCACTATGAGCGAGTTCTTTAAAAACTCCGCGAATATTAGTGATACTATGAGTAAGTTTTGTTTTATAAAAATTCAATAGTTCATCAAGAGGGTGGTTTTGGGGGTTATTACGAGCAATTGAGGTATATAATTGAGCCAAATTCCAACAACTACCACTAAGACCTATTAATAACCGTATCATACGATTAGATTTTTTAAGATAAATTATTTTAGAAAACTTAACAAATTATTTCTGAGTGTTACCCGAAACGTAAGTGCCACATTCATATAGACCACAATCTTTCATAGCGGCAAAATAAGCTAAAATAACCAAATTTGATTAATATATATATAAACATTAAAAAATTCACTCATAATAACAACAATAATAATAATAATAATAAAATAGTTATTTACCAGTGACAACTATCATTGCTCTAAATCCACCACCACTTCCCATAAATCCGATGGTTGGAATATCATCAGGATGAACCTCACTTACATCAACACCGATATATTTAGCAAAAGATTCACGAATGTGATTCTTTCTATCACGAACGAATTGTTTTTCTTCATCACAAAGTTCATTAGATCTCCTGAATTATTATAAATTTATTAGAGAAATTAAAAATTAAATCTATTTTTTTTTGAATTTAAAAAATTAATAATAATAATCATCATAATCATAATAAATTACCTCACACTAGCATCCCATTCAATCTCCGGATGAAGTCTGACATCACGTATTTTTGAATTTACAATTTCATCCAAATCATCGAAAGCGGATACAACTCGGGAATCATTGAGAATATTTTCGGGTACAAAAGATTTTATCGTATTGTTGATGTGAGTGCCAAGTTGAGTAAACCAGCTATTTGTTATTACAAAGGTAATAATATTATTATTAATCTATTTTATTGACTTTTTTTTATATACACATATATATATAATATATAGATAAACATACTTTTCGTCTTTTTTATCTTTATCCGACATGATTATATTTTTTTGGAGTTATGCAGAATCGTTACTTAGCCTTTGTGAAAAAGGACCACGTATACAATTAGTAAAAAGTAAGTATACATATTGATAATGTACCGATATCAGATAGAGAGCAATGGAAATTCTTTGCTGCGCCACACAAAATAATATAGAGCATTCATTCATTCATTGACATCGTCGAAACATCAAAGATGAAAGAGTAAAATTCCCGATAAAGGTAAATACGGAAATTTAAGAAAGATGGTGTCAACTGTTTAAAATTCTGGCGTTGTTTTTTTTTTTTTTTTAATAAAAAATGCGTCATAAAGTCAAATAAAGAATAAAAAAAAGTACCTATAACTCGTTTCTTAATACTAGACCACTTCAAGATGAAAAGTGGATGAGTGCCATTTTTAAATAATGATAAACGAATGTTACAAGTAGTACTTGAGTACAATCACAATCACAGATTTGAATACTCATTTGTCCATATTAGGGAAAACTAAAAAAATTTTGAGATCTCTTCAATCATTAGTGTTAATAACATCAGGCGCCAAGTGAGATCACATGTTTATATAACATATTACTGTATTAATAGCGGTTAGCGTCAATTAGTGGTTGGGGTCCGGATAATCCGGATTATTCCTGTTTAATAAGTGAGCTTATTTGTAATTTTATCCAAACCTATCATTGTGCAGACTTGTTTACGTCACTCACTTGTTACAACTTTATCTAAAAATCGATCTTACAATGTCATTACTAAATTACGGCACATATACGGGACACCTGCTTTTAGCGATTAAATAATTTAATAAGTTAAAGTTTGAACACTGAAAACAATTCAAATTGATTTAGATTATAATATTATCATTATGGGGATTGATTAAATTTAATAATGACGGGTAAATTCGTTTCCACTTAAAACAAGAACTAAAATTTTTATAATATTTGCAAGATGGGCGACTGTTAGTATGTATTTTTACTTATTACACTCTTATTCTCGTTATAGTGGATCTGTCAAAGCGGTTCTCTCACTATATTGGAGTGTGATTCTATAGACAATTTAAACATAGTGGTTTATAATACTATAGCGGATATTCATTATAACTTAGCCGACCAATACATTATAATGAGGGTAGAATGTGTATATTATTTCAGGCTGCATTTTGTGGTAATAAACAATAATTAGCGTTAGTAAAGATAACGATAAGTAAGGGGTATTATTAATTACATCTCTAGCCCGAAAAGGGGTTTCATATAATTTAAGATCTACTGCTCGTAGTGGGAAATAAAGGTGTTACTCTTCGTTTGGCAGAAACACTGTGACCCATTTTTATTGACCTAGCCTTAAAAGTTCACGTCGATTTTAATCAATATGACGTGACATGCACATTACTGTATGTTCGAATATGCTTGGAAAGATGAATTACTAATTTCTGAAAGAAAGTACAAACCTTTGGAAATAATTGTTAGCTGTCGGAAGGTATCTTCGTCATTGGGTACAGTTCTTGACTATTGAGAATCCAATGTAGATTAAAAATATATAACCGGTGCGATTTTGAGTTGAAAAGCAGTGTAAAAAATTCGATGTGCGGATTGCACATGAAATTTTCTTATTTTAATATGAAGTGAGCATACTTGAACCCGAATGAGCACACTTGAATCCGAATGAGCACGTTTGAACCCGAATGAGCACGTTTGAACCCGAAGTGGGTTCAATGAACCCGAAGTGGGTTCAAATGAGCCCGAATGGGCACATTTGAACCCGGAATAGGCGCACGTCTTACTTATAATCGGGAAACAGAATATTAGGACTATCAGATATCACCGGCCGTTTTAAAACTACGCCGGAAGTCATCTTAATTGAACGTAACCTCCGGCATTTTACAATGGAATTGTGTGCTCTGATAGCCACAATGAGTTTATTTTCCATTATTATTGTTATTATTATTTGAGTGGGTCAATAAAACTGGGTCAGGTGGGCCAAGAACGATGTTTTTGCCTTCGTTTGTAATCAATGAAAAAACAAACCAATTAACGTTACTGTAACATGTTTTTTCATTGATTAAAGTAGTGTTTATAAGTCGCCATTCGTCATGATATCATACATAAACGTGGATTAACAACCATTACATACGTGCGCAAATTTTGATAACCTATTCCTAAATAAACTTCATTCGTTATCCGGGCATCCATATCCGGATTTCATTAATTATAATTTGTACGTAGATCCATGTAACAAATTTAACGTTACGAAAAATTACAAAAATTAAATTTAGGTTATAGTTAAATTAGGTTAATATTTATACTGAAGTTTTGAAGGTATTACAAGTACGTACATACGTACGTACCTATGTTTTTATACACTACTATCATCCTCCTCTATAATCACGCAGTCCGTATCATACAAATTGTTTGATTGTATAAAGGTTTTTACTATGATGTGCTTATAAAGATATTTTTTTTATAAGTTTATTAGTAAAGTGTTGCAGGCCTTGACGTGATTATAAAAAGGGGTTTACTATGATGTGATTATATAGGAAGTGACTATATAGGAAGAAGACAGTAGTATACAGATAAAAATTATCCAATTATTAATAAAATATATAATCGATTCTCTTGATTTCTGGATGAAAAAAGTTGTCATAGGATTATCCGTATCTGAGTTATCTGGATAATTCAGATCGGATAAACAGATCAGATATATTCTGACGGATATCCAGATAATGGATATCTAATAATTATCTGGATAAACACTTTATGGATTGGAACTCTACTAACTATATATATACGTAATATAAATTTATAACCATAGTTCAATATAAGGGAAACCCTGTGATCGGACGCAATCTATCTAATTTAAAGAATTGTGTTCGGCACAAATTATAATTGAAAGCGGTTTTCCCTTAGCGACACTCATACAGTATGAACTTTCGAATTACTAATATAATTTACTAAAAATTCGTTGCGCGAAATTTGAGTTTTAAATTTTAGAAAATATAAGTTTGCTCTTATTTTATTTATCGAAGCGGTAACTCACTTATTAATTTATTCGATTTCCGACTTATTAATATTTTTGCCTCCAATTCATTGAGTGACACTTGAGAATACCTTTATGTTATTGAATCGCTTTTAGTATTTTTTTTAAAATAAGCCTTTATTCATATTTTCCATATATGGAAACGAATTGCTAAAATATAATTAAACCTTACAATAAAAAAAGGAGCTCTATTACTTTGAATATCAATTAATCAATTTAGGAAAATGTAAAGAGGCATTTGAAGATTGAATACTTCCAAATGAAAGCAAGAAATTTTTATAGTCTAACATTAAACAAAGCTAAATAATTTAGCAAAAGTTGTAAAAGCGGTTAAAGTCGTTAAAGACGACCTAATAAAGTAGATCGTGAGTGATAATAAAAGAAAACCTATTGGACTAGCCCATTGATCCATAACATGAGATGTGTAATTCATATTGTTTTTTCCTTGCAGATCTGCAAAGAAAAAAAAAATCTAGATGATTCATACCAATATCTCACAATCTATCGGGTTGATTTTAGTGATTTTATCATTATTAAAAGTTCTGTTAAAAACCAAAATACTATAGAGTTATTGGGTGCTACACAGCCAATAATTTGTTTATCTGGTAGTGAAATTTAATATGTCAGCTTCTAGGCCCTCAAAGTAAGGTGAGTGGCACGGTTAAAAAAATTTGGCACGCTATCATATTTAAAATCCCCAGACAATTTTACACATCCCGAAGTTTTTTCTGTTCGTTGACTATCTACTATTACGAAATTTCCCGACAGTCTTGCTAATATGTTCCGTTGACTAAAAAATATATATATGTAATTGGCATGCTCGTGACTACTGTGCCACTCACCTTATCCCGAAGAGGCCCTGAAATGACGCATATTAAATTCGCCGCCAGATTAACTAATAATTATCTGAGATTGTACTAATGCCAGATTTTATTTTTTTAAAAAAGATTTCCTTATTAAAAACTGTATTAAATGAAAACATTTATCGTTATTCAAGGATAATCTTTATAATATGATAAGCGGATATAGAATGCATTTCAGTAGATCATTAAAAATTAAGTAGATGTCAAAAAGTTACGTATTAACGTTAAATGAAAGGATGATCACATGTGAGATATAATATTGAATAATTAATTAATGACGTATAGAAACTCATTTCAAAAACATGTGAAAGGAGTAAAGTTTTAAAAAGGTTAGTGAATAGCTTAAGGATGATCTATTACTTATATCCTGCTGAAGCACGAAAATCTAAACAACTTACATTGAACAATCTTTACGTTGACTGGTTTAAATTCTCATAGTATATAATAAATAGTAATATCGATATACTACAAATAAATTTTCCTATCAGCTGTGAGTGTGATTAGATTATGGCTTCTAATTGGTCTTTGCATTTACAGTATGTTATTCGCATGTACGTACGTGTACTACTGTAGATTTCAATTATATGAGTGGTGTCTTTAATAATATCACTTTCTGTCTCTAATTCTTTAATTCTCGTATAATTAGTTCTCAAAATAATGGTTTATTAATGAACACAGTAGTACATGAAACTGACAGAAGAATGGAAGTTTTCTATTATCAATCATTTGACCTAAATTGATTTACATCGATCTACGTTATGTTATAGATCACGACCTATACCAAAATTACGTAACTAAAGTTTGTATATTGTACATTAGAATACATTGTAACTGTCTATTAAAACCTAAGAATAGAGCTTTTGGCCTATACTCTGCTAGAGAAGATCGTTACCCCACCTAGACTATGTTTTTATTTATGAATATTTATTAATTAATCCATTTATTTATGTTATATTGTTTAGATTTATATTTTATTCTTTATTATTTACAATTACATTAATTTCATAATTATATTGCAGTATAGTATTTCTTTATCTTTCAAATAAATTTCAAAGCTAGCGATTAATGTTCGAAAATAAATTTTTTTTCTAGTGTATGCACGAGGAATAATGAAAATTTAGAAAAAAAAAATCTTAAATTCACTGGGTGACACGTTCGATTACCGATGATAACAGATTTAGAGTGGCGGGCGTTTGTGAAGGAATATACTATGTATTTATTATAGTATCGTTACATAAACAGTATATAAATTATATATTTACATCGATGTGACCACTCTTCATATCTTGATATGTTGCATTCATTGGGTTGGTGAGGTGATGATACCGATTCGCTTAGGCCAAGGCTGGGTATATATTTAGTGTTAATCACCTTAATGTTAAAAAAAAAGATTCGGTAGGTCTTCACCGAGATGCTCCTTGAAAGAATATCCAATGCAGATGTATCATATCCTCAGACATATTGTTTTTAAACCTTCGTTTGATGTTGCCATTAAGTATGCCGGAGGATCATCATAAAACAAATCTTAGTTCAATAAAAGAGTTAAAGTATTTTTTCTATTAAGGACCTTTTCTAATGCTTTGTGCCCTTCGGGAGGAATTTATAGTAATAAATTTTATTTTCCATTTTTCTATAAAAAAAAAAAAAAAAAAAATTAGTCAATTTAATTCTTAGAACTTTTAATAAATTCATAAAATTATTAACTTACATTTTGTCATCTCTCCTATTACTTTCATCTTCTTTCTAGACTTTGCTTCTAATTGCATCGACAAAGTCTGCAGCTCTCATCTTCTTTCAATAATTTTATCCCAGTTTTTATGCAAAAATCCCCAATACGACAGCTTAGTACTTCTCTCTTTTAGATATCATAAGCAGTAATGACTAAAAGTAAAAAACCTCTTTAGCAGTGTCTTTGCATCATGGTATTCAAATTTGCAGAAATATAAATAAGTGGCTTACTTTGAATGTTTTTTGTTTAGTTCTTATTTAAACGTATTCGTCGTTATAAAGAGTTGGAAATAAAACTGTGTATTATTAATGGTTTTATATTTCAAAAATTTTTTCGTAACCTTGTCGATCATGATCGATAAAGCCTTGTTTATCTGTTATTATTGCACTCTACGCGTCATAAATCCTACACGCGTTGTTATTCTTAAATTACATCAAATTTACCGTATAGCGCGCCATAAAGTACCCCGGGTATTAACCAGGAAACTCGTGTTAACCACAAATAGTACCCCCCGGGTACTGTGTATGGTTGGGGGTACTATGTATGGAGGGTACTGTGTTCGGCAGGGGTAATTAGGATACTGACATAATGCTTTTTGCTTCATTTCGAATACATATTAGTTTTTCTGGGAGAGATAGATATAATATAGTACCCAATATAGTACCCGGGATCTTCAAGGCCGTTAGACTAATATAGTACCCGGGTACTAATATATGGGGGTACTATTTAATGGGGGTACTTTATGGCGCGCTATACGGTAACAACTGATGTTCCCAATCGAAAATCGATTAGTAAATCGAGTTAGCAACTAATCGATTGGTCAGTTAATCGATTAGTTGACTAATCGACTAATTGTTTTTATATTATCATACCAAGTCATTTCTAATCGATTAGTTGACCAATTAATTGATTGTATTTTTTTGTATTACTACCCTGATGTGAATAAATAACCATATAAGGTGTATAAAGTAGGTACGTAACATAACGTTGTAATGATAAATACACTAAATTAAGTAAAAAAATAAATGTATAACGATAATAAAAATGGCAAGAATAAAGATGGCACAAAATTAATAATGACAGGGCGTGCACTTATCTCAAAGTCCGAGTTTAAGATGGTATAATTGGAAACACAATTCAATACTCCATAAACTATAATTAAAAAAAATTAACGTTTCATCACTTGTACGAGGTAAACTTAGTGTATATCACGCAAGGTCACATCGCGCGATTTTACGTGAGACAGCGATGAATTTTTAATTTAAAATTTTTTATAGTGAAAATTATATTAATTGAATTATTTTACTTCACATGAGATTGATGTCACCTTGCGCAAGGTGTGTGTGAGAATTTCATCTTGTCGCGCGAGGCACATTTTTAATTAACACACAATATATGTGTGTTTGACGTTTCAAATTGAATATATTAAATTCTTTTCAGTCACTTTTATTATTATTATTAAAATACATTGTAATAAAACATGACTTTAAAATATAATAGACCTAAAATATCTCTTGTTTATCATTATCAGTTTGTTGCCTATTCCTTGATAATTTTTGTAGACGATTTACCCCTTGAACAAGAAGGACTGCTCTTTTAAAAGTATCTTTTGGCGAAAGATTTTTTCGTACATTATCAATAAGATTCACGTCTGCTGCTGCCGAAATGAACCAATTATGTTTAAGTGCTTCTTTTGCTGTGATTCTTTTTAGCGGGTCATAACACAATAAGCTGTCAATCAAATCTTTTGCTATTGCATTAAAAAAAAAGACAAGATTATAAGATAGAATTTTATGAGATACGTAATAATCGTAAATTTAACGTTTCGATCAAAGATTATAAAACGCGTACCATCATCAGATATTTCACCCCAATCATCTTCTTCATAATCATATTTTCCTGCTATGATGGATTGAAGTAACCCGGCTTGATTTTCTCCATAAAATGGTGGATATCCACATAACATGGTATAAGTGATCACACCAACACTCCAAAGATCTACTGGCTTATTATAACCTTTTTGCGAAAGTACTTCTGGAGCTACATAACTAAGACATTAAAAAAATAATTTATAATTGTATCATATTATATACTCATTTTAATTCGTGAAATTGACATACCCTGGAGTACCACAAGCCGTCATCAATACATCGTCATTTGTTTTTAAAATCTTTGAAAGTCCAAAATCTGTAATCATAAGCATTGAATCATCTAATTTAGTTTTAAAAAGAAGATTTTCTGGCTTTAAATCTCTATGCACTATCTAAATGAAACAAAGATCATTTTAAATTTTGGTTTATATATAACATTAAAGGTGATTTTAATTTAAAGATAACTTATGACCTCATAATAAATATATAAAATAATATCTTACATCCTGCTCGTGTAAATACGCTACTCCCTTTAACATTTGGTGCACCAAATTAGCTGCATCTTTTTCTGTATAAGATCCTTTCAATAAAAGTTGATTAAACAATTCTCCACCTCTCGCAAGATCAGTTACAATGTAAACTCCTTCTTTTGTTTCATATAGATCATGTAATTTTACAAGGTTTTCATGCTGGATTTTTTTGAGAATATCAAGTTCGGTAGTAAGCATATCTTCTTTTCCTTCTATAAAATATTTCATGAAATTCGTTATATAACATAAAAATACGATTTAAATTCTTGAATATTTATACGAGCCTTACGTTTTATTACTTTCTTTGAAATAATTTTTAATGCATAACTTTCCCCTGTTACTTTATCCGTACATTCTTTTACGATAGCGAAGGAGCCTACACCGAGAACATTATTTGTAACTTTATATCGAGATTCAAGTTCTACTGGATATAGAGTTCCATTTTTTTTAAATAGTCCTAATATTTTAATCATTATTACGTTTTTGTTTGAATTATATTTATAAAATTATACTGATAAAAATTATAGTGATAATTATAGTGATAAAAATTCTGAAATATGAAATTTAAACGAGAATTTAAATGCTGAAATTGTTGGTTGAATTCCGTTCTGATAACAGCCTCTTTTTTTATTGTCAATAAAGCTGAATTTGTCACACAACATAATTTATATTCGGACAATTACATAAATTGTGAACCCAATCATCAATCATTAATCATTATGCTAATCAGAGTAAAAAAGCATGCGATTTATTAATTAATTATGTATTATTTTACAGTCAATTCTTTCTGACTGGTAATACGTATAAATTTTTTAGCTATTTGATTTTCGCCAAGATTTTAACGTTAAATATTTATGCAAAATTTAATGTAATGTAAAATACGTAATAACTGGTAATTTTTCTTTCTTTTTTGCCCCCATACTGATATGCAAAATTTTGTTTAATCATTTCCTGATAAATTTATCTATTACTGATTAAACTTTTTAATTAACCATATTTAGACTTTTATTCGTCAATTTTCAGAATCTGCCTAATCGGTACTTAATTTAGTTTTTTTCACATGACAATTTATTATCATTATCTACTTACCCCCGTTCGTATTCCTTCATATGGTTACTACCTAAATCCAAATTCTTATTAATTTTCTCTTAAATTGTGAAATCTGTCAATTTGCCAAACTACGTCTCTTTTCCGCATACAAAAGAAATTATCATATACAGTCAAACCTCTATAATTGCACCCCCTCAGGACCATAGGACAAATTTTTAAAAAAAGTTCACTTAGGGAGGGCGTACATTATAGAGGGAATTTTTACTATGTTTCTATATACTTGGGACCATACCAGAGCGTTCATTTAGAGAGAATTTACATAACGATGCATTTATGGAGGGTGCAATTATAGAGGTCTGATTGTAATTGTAGCTGGATAGATATTTTTTTGGTATAAGTTCCTTACGGGAGCCCTAATTTCTCCCATGAAATCCGTCCTGAATAAACTAGATCATGCCACCTACCGCAAAATCAAAACCATCGTTTTTCTTCAAAAAAAAAATCAATTTATTTTATTTTTATTTAGCATTTCCAGAATTCTTTCTGTTAGTAAAAAGAAAAAACAATCAAAATAATCTAAAACATTAACGAAAATAAGTGCTTCTGATACAACCAAGAAAATTTTTATTCTGTACTTTATTCTCAAGAAATAAATTTTTTGCTAGACCTACGAATGAATTGACCCGTCTAAAAAATCTTCACCCGGGTGAAAACGGGTCAAAGTTGCCACCCGGGTCATCCAGGTTAATTAAAAAAACAAGTCCAGATGATTAATGTCCCGAAAATAATATGTCATTCTAAAGTGATAAATACATCCATATCGTTAAAAGTGTTCGAGAGTATTTAGCAAATTTTCTGACTAACCCAACGGAGATAGTTTGAAAGCACCAAGTTATATTTATATCGATATATCAATTTATTGAATCTATTATGCCGAAATCACAAACTTAATTGAATCAGCAAAAATCATTCGGCCAATTTTTATCAGGTGATTCAGAAATATGATAATAACTTCAAGCAAAGTATGATTTATCTTCGGAAGCTAATATACTACCAACCTGTGGGCCAACCCACAGGTCACCCGTGGGTCAACCCGCGGGTTGACCCACCCGTTTTCGCTTGGGTTGCCATAACTTAACTCGGATCACCCACCCACCCGCGGGTGACCCGGGTGACATCCACCTGGGTCAAGCATTTACGAAATCTGTGCTAGGCTATGCATGTTGCCGATCATCATGTAACTGAAAAGTTTCAAACTTTATACGAAACTACATATCTAAAATTGCTACAGATTTTTTTTTTTTAATTATATAAATAAATAAATAAATACAATTAAAATAAAAAAAATTTTCATCGATTTTTGATAATTAGGTATTGAGTTATCGAGATATCATCGCTCAAAGTTCAAAAAAATTTGGACCAAAACAAACTGTGGCTAAGTTTTCCAACCTTTGAGCGATTATAACTCAATAGCTACTTATCGAAAGTTTTTTTATTTTAATTCTATTAATTCATAGAATTAAAATAAAAAAAAACTATCAATTTTAAATAGGTAGTTATTGAGATGCATTCGTTCGAAGTTTGAAAATTTTCATCACGGCGTTCCATGATGATCGGCAACATGCATAAATTTCGTAAATGCCCGGGTCAAATCACTAAAAATCGCAGCCCAGAATATATAGTTAAGGAATTTTGAAACAGAATTGGGTATATTTTAAAATTACAAACTTGTTACGTACGTACAAGCTTGTGAATTTAAAACATACCCAATTCTGTTTCAAAATTCCTTAACTATATATTCTGGGTTGCGATTTTTTACTTAAAAATAATTGACACGGACACGAACATTTGAAATGTTTCAAGTTCATTTTTATTAATATTGATACGTACAATACTACAAAATAAATAAAATGATACTGAAATTGCTAATTAATAGATATGTTTTAATATTAATTCGTATACGTAATATAATTCAAGTTCTCAAAAGACATTCCCCGAAAGGAAATAATTAGTCAGTATTTATTCTTTCTGAAAAATAGCTTTTAGAAATCGTACAGCAACCCTGATACAATATTGCAATAGGTGCTATGTAGTTGCTAATTAGTAATATTGAAAATAAATTTTACTGCTAAGTTGCTAAATAATTTGTATATTTTTTTTCACACGCTTACAAAAAAAAAAAAATTAACACATTTTGTTTTCGGGGTTTCGTAGTAGGACTTAAATTAGGTATTGGGGTGTTAGATACCAAATGATTAACTAGTGTTAGATACCAAATGATTAACTATCATAGTGCAGCACTATATGATTGGCCTACTATGTAAGATTTTTGAAATTTTGCCGATCAATTTATTGAAAAATTTTTAACATAGTAATTTTATAATAAAAATCGTGTATTTTTAAAATGTTCTAACTCCAACTAGTTAATTTGAACTCTTTCCCGTAGATCCCAAAACACTAAGTAAACAAATAAATCGCAAAAATAATTCAAAAAACCATTAGTTAGAAGGGAAAGACTTATAATAAAACTAATCCCTTAGGGGATACTGCACTTTTAGGTGTAAGAAACATCAACCA